CTGGACTCAACAATAAGACTCAAAGCAGGACCACGGGGGCGCCGTGATAAAAGGTCGCTCACCCTCTGGCGCTGTGATAAAATGTCACCTGTGTGCAGGCCTAGGGGCCAGGGTGTGGCAGCACCACCCTCAGAGCAGGCTCCCCCTGCTTCTGAGCAAAACCTGAAACAAGGAGGATTTTGTCCCCAGACCTGCTGCTGGAAGGCAGAGCCTCAGTGGGCCTGGGAGGGATGGGGTGAGGGCCCAGCTGGGCCTCCAGCTGCCCCCTCTCCCCACGTGGTGTTTGCCCCTGAGACAATGAGAAGCCTGCACTGATGGGCGGCTAGTGGGGCAGCACCCCCTCTTAGCACCTTCTGGCCATATCATTCTTAATGGGCGAGAGGGAGCAATAGGGGCCCAAGAGGATTACAATCTGTCCTAAGGGGTTACTTACACCTTTAGGACAGATGTGCCTATTAGTGAACGTGGCCAGCTCTACACCTCTCAGCGCCCTCCCCTCTCCCACAGTCCTCTATGCCTATGTATATTCTCTCTCTCTCTCTCTCTCTCTCTCACACACTCACACACACACACACACACACAGCCAGGAAATGTGGGCATGTCCCCACTCGACCCAACTTGGGGGCTGTGAGAAGAAAGAAACAAGTTCAATACAGTCATCTTCTCAGCGCTGCAATTTTCTCTGGCTTTTGCCTTTGATTAATGGCCCCTGTGTCTCTCCCTCCCAGCCTGCATACCTGAGAATCAGATTTCACCTTCTGTGCCCTGGCCTCAGGCCCTTGGCAGGGGGGAGCTGAGTCTCCCAGAGTGGTTGGGGGAAGGTGCCTGCCAGCCCAGAGGGTGGATCCGGCCAGGCTTGGAGTCCTCCTGTCCCACAGGCCCCAAGGGCTGGGTTGAAAGGACCTTCGTGAAAACGCAGGCCAGCTCTGGGTCCTGCCCTGTGGCAGTGTGGGGACATGGGCTGTCCTATCGGTGGCCCGCTCTGGGCTTCCCAGAGCACCAGACTTTTCTACTCTCTGTTCTATTTCCCTCGGCCTGCCTTTGCATGTTCCAAGGCTGTCTGTCAGCAGAGTGTCAGGGAGGATGGGTTTCTCTTAGTGACAGTAAAAAAAAATGTTGTGCTAAAATCACAGAAGCGCAGCCTCTCTGAGCTCGCTCCCCCAGGAGAGCTCTAGCAGCCGGCCTTCTCGTCCCCCAAGCCTTTTCTCTGGATCTCGTCTTGACCATGAGGAATGGAGCAGAATCCACCCGAGCGCCAAGCAGAGTGGAGGACTGTGCAGGAGTGTCCTCAGGGGTCTCACTCTTCTCCTCACCCACTGCACCTGGGTGCTGCTGGGTCCCACGATAGGAACGGGGTTCCAGGGATAACAAAGTCATGACCCCTGTCGGCATCTGAGCACAGCTCTGCATGCTCCAGTGGACAGGGCATTTGCCCATTCTCACCACACCCTGTCAGTGTTCTCTCTCTCTCTCTCTCTCTC